GGAATTCGTTACGCTTACACTAACTGAAGAGAAATAATGTGTGTTCTTTCAAAATTTCGTTTTTTTGCATATTCTGGGTGGATCGAAAGCCTGAAAATTATGCATTACTATTTTTAGTACACCCTGAAAGAAAAACTCTTATTTGTTGCCCAAATCCCGACTCAAACATACCGTGTGTTCAAAAAAACATTAAAACTTATATGCACATGAATTATTACTATGACAGGAAACTTCAAAAATAGTTACCCAGGTTTAAAATTCATTTAAAAAAATTGCCAACATCCCAAGTGAATCTAAAACGTATGAAGGTAGGAAACTTGAACATGGGCTTTTCGAAGAAAATCACCTTTATAAAAAAAATTGCGCTACACAAAAAATGCTGAAAGCTCGACTAGATGCAGACACTACGTCTGAGAATGTTTAAATGAATTTTTTTATGGCTGGGAAATTTGGAAAAAGTTTTAAAAGCCTACAGGGTACGTTTTTCGTATTATTATAAAGGGTATGTAAACACTTGGACTATCGAGGATCTAATATCTCAAGTCGAGAATGACCTCATTTTATAAGCTAAGAAAAATAACGGAAAAATCGCGATGCTATGAAATCACGAAATCACCAACTACCTGTTATAGCAAAACGAAACATGTGTACGGTGTAAATAGTATGCGTGGGTTTACCTAAATGATATTGTTTGTTTAAACGATTGTCAAGCATATAACGCATTTAGGAAAGAGTCATGGAGACGTTACCGTGTCGTACAATGTAACGTACATTATAAAAATAGCATTAAGTAGGGCGACTCTTATCGAAATGGAAAATTAGTTAACAGGAAACGAAACAAATTTTAAATTCATTTTTTATACTTATATCTTATACGCTATTTTATACTCTAGAATTTTGATGTATGTAGTACATATATTGATAGATTTTTGAGATGAAACAAATGCGGTACCCTACAATAGATCTATGTTATTACGCATTTGAGGATTATGGATGGTGACGTACTCGTATGTACATATTGATAGATTTTTTAGATAAAACAAAGCAGTACCCTTCAATAGATCTATGTTATTACGCATTCGAGGATTATGGATGGTGACGTCGAAAGCTTTTTTGTATCCGTTTTATCAGCGTCTGTTAGTCATTTGACATATCCCCGCAAAAAATATCCATATGTGTGTGATATCGCGATGTTGGAGGGCAAAACACCCGATACAACCGTGGACCAACATTAACATTGATAACGTACCTGCGCACTTTTTATAAAAACAAAAATTGGATTTCGATTAGTAAGATAGATCCTATCATAATTCGAATCGATTCGATGCTACATTATGTTGAAGTCGGTCGGTACAGTTTGAAATATTTGTGGTTTCAAAACAATATCTCCGCGGGAACGGACGCTTATCTTACTTTAGTTTCTAATTTGAATTTTATTCACTCATTACCTAATTTTTAGCGTCAGAAGAGCAGTTGACGAACTACGTAACCGCCCGCATAGAATTTTTATCAAAAGTTTCTGTAGTAATAGATAATCATATTATATAACTGAATGGCCCGAATTGAGCTGTTATACCAGAACAAAACAGATTTTACACGTTCTTGTTTAGACTCTTAATACCTTGTTAATATGCTCTCATGGATTTCAAAACTTTCATACAAAAATTACGTTTTCAAAACTTATCAGTAATTTCAGTGTTCTAACAAATGTTGTATAAACGTATAAATACGCAGTATCTTCGCTAAAAGTATCAATAACTTATGGAATATTCAAATGACTGATCGTGATTCAATATTTGCAGAACTCATATAAGGTGACCCAAACAATCTGAGAAACTCAAGGCGAAATTCTTGGCTAATATGTAAGTCTAGACATTGTTTTGTATCTGCATACAAGGTGACTCAACAAGTGTGGTGTTCCTTTAGCAGGAAATACATTAAACATAGTAATTATTATAAGTACGTTTAAGTGCTCTCTTGCCAAAATATTGGCGTGTTGTATAATTACTTTATCTCAAACAAATAAACCATATGTTCTCCAAAATATTTGATCTAATATTCCACATTTTTGGACGAAATATATTAATAACCGATCGAAACACAAAATACGAAAAATACACACAATCCACACAGGTATTTAATCGAAGAACATTTTTATATCCTGATTGTTTTTGGGTCGCCCTGTATCAAATCATCCTCATCGCGCATCCCACATGGATAATGTATGTGCCACCCACATTTGTTTTCACTCTTTTTGGGCAACACATAAAAAAGACAGGAATAGCTTTCTTATTATGAAGAAATCATCAATATTAATGAGTTATTTCGCTACATAATTACTGTCAAGTGTTTCGAGAATACAAGCGAATCGTATTTCGCCGAGACAGATGAATAAAATTTACGCTTTGTTTGGTCGTTGATCCAGAGAGACCGTTGTGCCAAGTTGGACAATGAATTCAAATTTGGCTGTCAGTGTTTTAAGTTTCATTGGACCCATTCACAAAGGTGTAGTTTTGCAATTTAATAGACTTGTCAGAGACATTCGGTATTCTTTACCACATATAGCAAAAATAAAAGAGTCATATTATACTCCTGTTTACAAATTCCACGCTATTTTCCATTTACGTCACACTTTGGTCCGATCCGCACGGGTATTACGCAGGGATGTTCCGACATGCACAATTGTGCATATTATGCACAATTTTACGAACATATGCACAATATGCACCCCCCACACAAAATATGCACAGTCGCCAATAAATAAAGTGCATTTTTTTATACAAAACTGGCAATGAATTTTCTTAGCAGCTGCATGAACGACTGAAATGTACTGTTAGACACCGTCCCGATGATTGTTCATAATTGATGGCCTTGGTTAAATTTAATAAATAGATATTTTTTTATTGTATTATTTTCTTGAATTCGCATTAAACAATAAAAAGGTTCCATGAAATTTAAGTTTTTTTTTAAATTGGCGTTTGCGCCAGAAAATCAGTATACATATATGCACATTTTTAAAGAAATGTGCTCAATTTCTATTAACATCTTTGCACAATTCAAAATCCATCGACAACAACACTGATATTACGTATCTTGAAAAGTGACATTATGCCGATTTTTTTTACATTATGTAGATTTTTCTACAAGTAGTCTAATCATATTAGACGAAAATACCCTTGGTTTGTGAAATAATTGTAAAGTCTGGTTTTATTGCTGCAAGTTGTTCAAAACATGGACGCATGAAATGGGTACAAAAACTCTTCATCTAAGATTTTTAGGTATTTATGAGACCTACCACATGTAAAAGGATCCGACTCATAGCAAAAAAAATATGTCCGCAAACCGAGGCAAACTGCAGGTTTTGGAACTTGTTGGTAATGCGACGGTGGTTTCTTGCAGATATTTGAAATTCTTCAAATTCGTAGGATTTGTACTTCTAAATAACCACAAGAAAATTGGAGTAGATTGGTAAAGTAGTTTTTGAGAATTTCTAATCGTTATCCCAAAATACCTGTTTTCTGGCCATCGCTACTAGCTTATTGAGCAATATACAGGGTTAGTTCAAAGTGCATTTTATACCTTACCGATATGAATTGCAAACCATTCCGGAAGATAAATGTTATTTTTGTAGTTGTACGTGTTGTCTAAACGTCATGAGGCTTCAGTTGTCAATGTTTGACTCTGATGTGATGTAACATCTGCTTCAGAGATGGCATCACTGGAGGTAACGGCAATACATAGGTGTATAGTGAGGATTTGTCTGCTAATAATATGTATCAAATACACTTACTTGAGATTCAACGCTAGAAATTAGTTGCGCATCCACTTTTTCTTATCCATTCTGGAAATTACACATGCAAGTTTGCTGAATTTCAAAAATGAGAGAGATAAGAAATAATTATATTAACTGTACTCTGTCGAATTACAAGTCATATACATGCCAACATGAATTACACACAACGCGGGCGCGGTAGTGATTTCCCGTAATTATCCCCAGGGTTTTTGAAAACACAAAAAAACGTAAAAAACCGTAATTGATAACTTTGAACAAATATAAATAACCCGTCGGGCACAGTTGATATACTTATTCACTAATGATTTTCTCACACAACAAATATCACTGATGTGATACACACTTTGACCAATACACACAATCATCCAGATGCAATCTTGGTATTCAACCAAATAACCAACTTTCTTCTCAGAGACTCAGAGATGGAAACTATAGACCACTTGGCTTCACAAAACATATGCAACCAAGAATGCGTGTTTACGTGTAGTTGAGCCATTCCTCCATAGATGCACGCTCACAACGATCCTAGTGAGCAAAAGTGGAATGACTGTTTGCACCCTAAAAACTACCTAGTCTGCAAGATGACATCTTATAGGTTTTTTTGACGTGTTTTTTACATAATACCCGTGCCGCTTCTTATAAGCAGATGTTTCTGTTTTAATTTGTAATATTGAATCAGAACTTAAAATTTGATAAACTATTATAAAAATATTTAGATATTTAAGATACTGCTAATAGCGAAAATTCCTGAAATGGTACATCCGTAACGTTATTATATAGCATGTATCATATAAATAGTTGTTGCGTGAAACATTTGAAAATCATACCTTCCAAGTAAAAGTCAGTTTTGAAAACAAAGTAACCATATACATTATTTTATTTTTTACAGTGGAATAACTTAATTTTTGACAAAATGAAAATAACTTCGCCTACTGTAAGTGGGCAGTTTCTTTAAAGAAAAATTGTATATTAATTACTTCTAATGGAATTACTGCGATCATGGATGTGAAGATGGACACGGACCTTGTTGGTTCTGTCTTAAATTCTAAGCTAAAATAAAGTTTGCATGAATCAAGTTAATCTTTTCTGCTTTTTCTTCATACATTTCACGGCGTTGTCGGTGATTATTTCAACATGTCTTGAGCTCCTAAGATGATAAGAAATACCAGCGTGAGAAAAAAACTAATTTCCTAATATTCTTTTCCAGGTCGGTGCCTCCTTCCACCTGACCAATGTCCAAGTATACGTTGTAGATCTAAAGAAATGCCGACCGTTCGGCCCTGGTTCGCCAACTGGCTTGACGCCGCCCTCGCTGGTCGACACGCGCGTCAACGTCAACGTCAGCCCGTTCGCTGCCAATCAGAGCGTGAGGAAAAGCTTCTCGAAGGCGGACCGACCGCCGTCGCTGCGTGAACGCCGCCCACCAGAGGTCAGGACGATCGAGGAAAGCACGTCAGGGACGGATCCGGAAGAGGACAATCAGGCGAATATTACGAATTTGAAGGATTATAACGAGATTTTCAGAGGGAGAGGTCGTAAGTAGCATATTGTCAAGCGTAATTGTCAAGTCAATGTGCGTGTTTTGTGCAATACAATTTTCAAATGTATGTGTACAGGTTGTCCAAAAAAAGTCTTACAGCGTTCTCAGGCTGAAAAAGAATGACATTGTAATTCAAAGACATGTTGATTATGTAAAGCAATTATTTGATTTTGATTGCCACGGACAGGTTAGTCGTAATGCAGTATCATTATTTTTTCTCGCCCTCTTTAATAATAGCTCAGGGATGATGTTTTTGGACCGTTTGACTGTAAAGCTGGAAAAATGGGTTCTTGTTTGATACCAATGGAATATGCCGTTTTAAAGAGAAACACTCTTGTTTCAGTGCAGTTATATAAACTCTGATAATGCATCTGTAAATACCGATTCGAAATACCACATAGTATACATTTCTAAGTCACTTAGGCCCGTATCGTCAGTCGTCCCTACAATTGTAGGGCGCCTTTATGGCCTCCTTGATTGTCATAGTTTTCTACTTCTCCGTCTCAGAACTCTATTTTGAGGTTATTTCACAAACATCTATTTGCATCAAATTGTGCTTGCTTTTGAGTTATATCATGTTTTATCAGCCTGAAATTTCATACAATTCAAAAAGAAAACATATCTTCACAATAGGAGAGCGCTGACGCTGACACGGGACAAGTGTAATCTAGAAATTTTTGAAGGAGAGAAAGAAGTATGACAATCAAGGAGGCCATAAACGCGCCCTACAATTGTAGGGACGACTGACGATACGGGCCTTAGCAGCTTATTTCGGTTTGAGTATAAATTAATAGGCACAATAATCTTTTTTCTCAAGAATTCAATGATAAAATTATTAAAAAGGCAATTTGTTTCTTTTAGTAAACAGAACGCCACCTCCAGAGCCTTTCCAAGAACCCGAGAGGGATGATCCAGGTATGGCGCAAAATGAAATAAAAATAGACTAAGTGACATATAAAATGCAACACCCAGAATTATTTATTGAACTTTATTAAAAACTTGTAAACATACAGTAATGGACAAAAGTATATAGACAAATTTGAATATTTACCTAAATACTTCATTGCTCCATAAACAAATGCGTAATTAGTAGAAAAACTAAATTCCTTGTTTTTACATTATCTGCAATGAACACAATACAAATCTGAATATAAGCACTTTTTTATGAGGGACAAAAATATGTAGACAAATTCTTTTCAACATTAGTTTAGTACAGTTTCGTGTCAGAAGAGGATTAGTTTGTGTTCATTAAGTATTGTGGAATAAGTTGAGTGATTTTAAGACCATGCCGCGTGGTCCAGAAATCTCTTTCGATGTGAAAACTAAGATCATTGAGTTATACAAAGATGGTCAACGTCAAGTCAACATTGCCAAAAATTTTAACCTGAAGCGTAAAGCAGTTTGGGCAATATTGCACAAATATAAACAAAAAGGTACCTTGGAAGCATCTAAGAGAAGTGGTGGGCCTAGAAAACTAAATGCTAGATCAGTTAGATTAATAAAAGTAATTTCGTTCAAAGATCTGATTAAAACCCCAAGCCAAATAAAAGCCGAAATCGAGACAAGGAATTGCCAGTGTTTCTACGAAAACTATAAGTAGAAGATTAAATGATTTGAAGTTATTTGCACGTCGCCCGAGTAAGAATCCGCTAATCTGGAGAAAAAACCGTAAGGACCGATTACAATTTGCACGGTTACATCTTGATTGGAGCATCTGTGACTGGAAGAGGGTATGTTTCAGTGACGAATCCAAGTTCAATATGTTTGGATCAGATGGTGTTCATTAGGATAGACGTCCTAGTGGACAAAGATTGAACCCCAAGTACACGTTGCCCACTGTCAAACATAGAGGCGGGTCTGTTATGGTCTGGGGGTGCTTTTCGGGGTTTGGGATAGGACCTTTACATAGAATAGATTGCATTATGGATAAGTTTTTATACACATACATACTAAAGCATGTCATGTTACCTTATATGGAAGACAATATGCCCAAATCTCGCAAAGAAATTCTTTCTAGATGAAAAAATACCAGTTCACAAATGGCTTTCACAGTCTCCCGATATAAACCCCATTGAAAATCTATGGGAATACTTAGATAAGCAAATACGAGATAAAAATTATTCAAACAAGGATGAACTTTTTGCCGCTTTAGAGCAAAAGTGGAGACAGATTGATGAATCTTATATCAAGAAACTTCTACAATCTATGCCGAGACGATGCCAGGCGGTGATTGATAATAATGGTCATGCTACAAAATATTAACACAAACATGGTTGGTTTTCTATAATTCAATGAACTTTGCTTCTTTTTTCTATAATTGTTTTGCTTTGTCCTTCATAGTTCCAGTTTTTTCAATTAATTTTTTATTGAAGGGGGTCTAGTGGATTTATTTATGTATAAGTGAGTATTATGCTATAACGAACTATGTATACAGGTTGGTGTATTAATAAAACAAGTTAAAAAAAAATACCGCACAATATTAATTTGTCCATTACTGTATTTGCTATCATGGAAATATAACGCTGATAATTTTTTTTTGTCATATCAGGATCCGAACATGTTTACTTAATATTCAGTGATTTTTCTGTGTTGGTTCCATTTGTTTCATTGTTGATTCATTGCATTATCATGCCTAGAGTTCGCAGACTCGCTAATTTCACTGAACTTTCCGAGTTTGAGAGGGGTCAGATAATTCGAATTACGAGAGGCCGGATTTTTTTTGAGAAAAATCGCTAATCGAGTGAATCGAAAAAAGGTACTAAAATGAGGTGTTGTCGAGCGTTCCAAGAAGGCCAAAATCGACGAGTTAGAGGTACTTTATGTCAAAGACAGACTACAGAGCGACACGATCGTTTTTTGAGGCAACTAGCTCTTAGAGAGCGATTTTCCATAACAAGGACTGTTGCGAACTAGGGGCAATAACATTGAGGACAATTTATCGCCGAATAAGGCCTTTTGGATTGTTTTGATACCGTCCCCATCTTGTACTACCTCTGACCCCACAGCATCATCGGCAACGTTTGGTATGGAGTTGGGAGAGATTCGAATGGGATGCGGAATGGAACTCAGTCGTGTTCAGCGATGAGTCCAGATTCTGTTTGGGTACACATGATGAAGGAGACATGGTGAAAGGCAACGTCCAATATTCCATCGAACGGCATATTCCTCGCACTGTGGATATTATGCTATGGGGTGCCATTGCTTACGGCAGCAGGTCACGATTAGTGTTCATTCGAGGTAGCACGACTACCCAGCGCTATATCCACGAAGTTTTCCAACCACATCTGCTTCCCTTTTTGGAAACGTTGCAAGATCCACTCTTCCAGCAGGACAATGCACGACCTCATGTCGTACATGTTAGTTTATACTTTTTAGAAGCGCTGGAGTAAAGCTGCTTCAGTGGCCTTCTCGATCTCCAGACCTTTCCTCCATCGAACATGTATGGGACATGATGGGAAGAAGGTTGCAAAATTCATCGCACCCTCCACAAACATTGGAGGCTCTACGAAACAAAATTCAGATGACCTGGGATACAATACACCAAGAAGACACCAATCACCTAGTCCAATCAATGCCGCGACGACTTAACCAGTGTGTAACGAACCGAGGAGCATCCAATTCATTATTAACATCAAGGTGGGATATCTCGGCTATTTTGCGAAATTTCGAGTTAAAATTTTAATCACTTTCTATTTATCAGTAGACCTAGAGCTTGTAAAATTATACTCAAAATTACAGCACTTCTAGTCGTTGTTGCGTTTTCTATGTCATTTAGTATACATAGAAACATCTTGTAATGTGTTGGATTCCTCAAAGTTATACACAAGAGTAATTGCTTCCAATTTTTGAGAAATTGGCTCATACTTATTTTGTCAACTTCGCTAATAGGGAAATATAAGCAATTCTTTTTGTTTCAGATCCCTCGGAACCACAGATTTTAAGCAATATAATAAGTGATAACTTTGAAGCTCTATCTTTAGACAATAATATAAACAATTTTAAGAATCATCATGCTCCAGATACCAATCAGTATTCCAGATCGAAATCAAACCTTGACCAAGTAAGTATTCATTTATAAGAATACATAGACAGTAACTCCTAAACAATTAAAATAAATCGTAACAAGATAAAGAGACAGCCATGAATTACTAATCGGAGTGTAAATTCAATTAATAAAAAAATGAACTGTATAAGGCTACAAAAAAATCATCCTGAAAACGCTCAGTTACTAAACGACTTTAAAACGTATCGCAATAAGCTAACCAAAGTCATCAACCTGGCAAAAACAAACTTTCTCAAAAACAATATATACAAAAACAAAGACAGCCCAACAAAAATGTGGCAGTTCGTAAAGAAATACAATAAAATAAAACCAGTATCTGATATACATTTTGTGGAAAGTCAGACGACACTTAAACTCATAATAAATGACAAAGATACAGCGAATGAATTTTGTAAGTATTTTTCAGAAGTAAGGGAAAGACTAGCAAAAAATATAACACATGAAAAATTTTAAAGGACGCGAATACAAAATTCGATTTATCTGGCACCAACTGATCCGCTTGAGGTAAATAATATTATTTGCCAACTAAAGCTGAAAAAATCGCCAGGCCTTGATGGTATAACATCATACACTCTCAAACAAATCAGCAACAACATTTTAAGTGTTTTATCGTACCTCATAATACTTGCATAGACAAAGCTAGATTCTATGACGCACTAAAAACAGCACTAGTAAAGCCACTACACAAATCTGGAGAAAAGACACAAATTTCTAATTATAGACCAATCTCACACTAAGCATTTTCTCAAAGATTTTTGAAAAAGTTTTGAAGACCCGTTTTACTAATTTTATTGATAAATATAGACTTCTGTCTAAGCAGCAATATGGTTTCCAAGAAGGAAAATCCACGCAAAATGCAATTGCTGTTTTGATGAAAAACGTGTATACCAGTCTAGGCTTGGGAAACCCATCGGCCTGTGTCTTTATAGATTTAAAGAAAGCATTTGATACAGTTGAACACAAAGAATTACTAACTACTTTGGAGAATCTAGGATTTCGTGGCAAAACACATACTTTACTCAAAAGCTACCTTACAGATAGGAATCATTGTGTGAAAGTTAATAATTCCATCAGCGACCTGCACCATGTAACATACGGTATCCCACAAGGTCAGTCTTAGGAGCTATCCTGTTCAACCTATATGTAAATGATCTTTTCAACCTACACACACACGGTAAAATTATCGGGTTCGCAGATGATACGGCTGTTTTTTATAGTAAAAAATCTTGGAATATCTTAAAGAATCTTATTGAAGAGGATTTCAGAGTCATTATAAGCTTCTTCAATAATAAAATATTAACAATCAATTATGAAAAATCTTTATATCTGACTTTTTCATGTGGTGATAGCATATCAAATTACTACCCATAGATGAAGTAGTAGTCCTAAAGCCAGCAAATCATATAAAATACCTAGTAATCATAGACAGCCACCTAAAATGGGACAAGCAAATAGAAAGCTTAACGAAGAGATTAAGATGTCTTATACTAAAATTTAAATTTTTCAGGGAAATTCTTTCTGATAAAGACTTATGCACCATATACAAAACGTTAGTACAACCATTGTTAACTTATGGAATTTTGGCATTTGGACCGATGTTGAATAAATACTACAGGAAACTAGAAATAACTCGGAAATGGATTCTTAAAATCATGTTCCACAAAACTATCACCTATCCAACCGATATGGTATATAATGTATCCAAGATATGTGATTGTAGGCAACTCTATTTTGAGAGTGTGTTCACATATATTACAAAACACAAGCATTTATTAAATTTCCTCCCACATACTGAAGCCTAAAAAGACCATAGGTCAGAGGAGTTTCACTTTCTTAGGACCAAAAATATATAACTTAATCCCTCCTCAGATAAAAGATATTAAAAATACAAAGGATATGAAAAAGCATCTAAGACTGTGGATTTTGGACCAGCATAGGCTCAAAATTCATCAAGCGATTGATATCAAAAATATCTACTATTACTGAAAGCGGAAATTTCAAAATGAAAATAAAAATGTATAAATCAAACTGATTTGAATTCTTACCTCCTGAATTATTGCATTTTATTACTAATTTTTACCAATTTTTGTTCTTGTCTATTCACCTAATATTGTCTTTTGTTTAAATATTATCTCTCTATCCCGATTGCGTCTACGTCCCGATTGTGTCTTTTAAAAATTCTACCAGGCCTTGTCTAATGAATTCTATATATATATAACTTGAGACGTGGTCATTGTCGTCTAGACCAGTTAGGTGAAAATTTAAAGTTTCCGCCTTTTGTTGGGTACTTCGACAAAATTTAAGCAAAGAGGACTCTTTATACTTTTTTAATTCTCTCTAGCTTTCAATGGACTTTGCCATCATCATCATTAGCTGCAATTACAATGATAACAGTAGCAACAAAAGTGTAAAATGAATTTAAATTGACTCAACTTACAGTAGTATGTGAGGATGTTGCTAATTGTTGTTTACGTATAGGCTGAGGGAAACGTCCAGTAACATGGTGAGAGCTGGATAGATGGTACAATGGTCAAAATTATACAGGGTTATCCAAATTAAGTGTCCACCATTAGTAACTTTGTTATTAGTGAAAATACAAAGTTGTTTGAATTAGCAAACTAGTAGCATTTTTAACGCTGGTAAAAATGAGAAATAAAAAAAAACAATTGAGAGTCGTTATTTTGATTTTTTTCAGTAAAATAACATTTTTTTAAATGGAAACCCCTGTATATTATATTTTTTTCTGTTAAAGCATCAAATTTTAAACAAAAAAGCTTACAATAACTTTTCTCCTAGGTTACAAATTGTTGAAGTTATGGCCTCCAATCTGAAACAATTAAATTGTATCGACAAACTTTATTTTCAACATCAACTTATAATCTTACAAAATACAATAACAATTTTTTTTAAAGAAGATGCTCGAAAACACCACCTTGTTCTTCAATACATTTTTGGGCACGTTTTTCAACTGCTCGAACTGTCTTAAGTATGGTCCTACCATCTATCTGGGTTATCTTTTCCCTAACTGCAGTCTTTAACGCGTCAAGGTTATCGTACCTTCGCTTGTAAATTTGGTTCTTTAAGTAACCCCACAAGAAGTAATCAAGTGGGTTTAGATCTGGTGATCTGGGAGGCCACTGTATTGGGCCATTTGTTCCTATCCACTGATCATTAAAAGTAGTACTTTGAAAATGATAAGTACCTCTGGAGTTGTGGGCAGGTGCGCCATCTTGCTGAAAATGCAGATGATGTCTACTTATAAGATCCAATTCGTCTAAGAAATTAGTCAGAATTTCTGACATAAATTCCACATATCTTTCACCAGTTAAAGAACGGGCCAACAATTTTTGAACCAATTATACCGCACCAAACGTTGAAACTGAAACGGACTTGTGGGCCTCTTGGATGTACTAACAAAAGATTTTCTCTTGACCAATAATGGTGGTTTTTTCTATTAAACATTCCAGAATTTGAAAAATTTGATTCATCTGTCCATAAAAGGTAACGAAAGTTATTTACATTTTGGCGACAGACGCTAAGATGGCAAATGGCAAAAAACGAGTCTTCTCTCTGGATCCCCTGCCAAAAGCGTTTGAACTGGTCGGTACTTATACGGAATAAATTTGTATTTTTTTAAAATCCTTTGAACAGTACCATAACTGAAATTAGAGTCCTTGAGAATATCTGCTATTGAATTCTCACGATAAGCTTCAAAATATCCAATAACTGCAATTTCCGTGGCCTCGCTTATTGTGAATTCTTTTTTTGCCCTTGTTTTAGCAAAAACATTTTCGTTGCCCCTAAATTTTCGATAAAGTCTCAGAAAATATCGTTCATACGGTTGAATGCGAGCGGGATATAATTCACTGTAGTATTCTCTTGCTCTCAAGGAGGATTTTCTGCACACTAAATAGCATTCTAACATATCACACTTTTCTTCATGGGAGAACATTTTTCTTTAAATTAATGACACAATAAAGCTTATAAACAAGTATTTACACTAATGTTTGACATTATTTGATTTTATCATTGTTTTCCAAAGCCTTCTAGTTGCGAGTATGTCCAGTTTAACAATTTGTCGCTTATCTTAATGCTGTCAAATCGCGAACGCCATGTTGTTTTCATAGCCGTCTTAATATTATAATACTGCAAATAATTAAAAATATTTATCGTTATTTTGACTTTATTTTTGACTTTAGCGGAAAAGTCATTATGAACTTTTTTGTTTAAAATTTGATGCTTTAACAGAAAAAAATATAATATACAGGGGTTTCCATTTAAAAAAATGTTATTTTACTGAAAAAAATCAAAATAACGACTCTCAATTGTTTTTTTTTATTTCTCATTTTTACCAGCGTTAAAAATGCTACTAGTTTGCTAATTTAAACAACTTTGTATTTTTACTAATAACAAAGTTACCAATGGTGGACACTTAATTTGGATAACCCTGTATAAAATATGACAAGAACAAGTTAAAAACAGATTAAAAATTATTTAAAAAACATTAGAGCATTACATCGTGAAGCCACTTGATGATTGCACAAAATGGTGGTCATGGAATAATGAGTGAGATGAAACCCTTTGACAGAAGGCCGAAGGTTGTCAATGTCTGTGTTGAAAGATGGAACGAAAATTCTTTTGTGGGCGTGTGCTTCGTTGCCAAATCAGTTCAGATGATGTGATTTTTAACTTGTTCTTGTCATATTTTATATAAATTTGACCATTGTACCATCTATCCAGCTCTCACCATGTTACTGGACCTTTCCCTCATCCTATACGTAAACAACAATTAGCAACATCCTCACGTACTACTGCAAGTTGAGTCAATTTAAATTCATTTTACACTTTTGTTGCTACTGTTATCATTGTAATTGCAGCTCCTGATGATGATGGCAAAGTCCATTGAAAGCTAGAGAGAATTAAAAAAGTATAAAGAGTCCTCTTTGCTTAAATTTTGTCGAAGTACCCAACAAAAGGCGGAAGCTTTAATTTTTCACCTATATATATATATATATATATATATATTTGTTTTGTTTTTAGTCTTAAGTTATTTATATATGAGCTCATGCCCAAGCACAAGTTGCTGCAAAACTTTTTTTGGGTCCATTCGTTTATTGTATAATATTGTCTTTCATCTACTACTGCTATACTTTTTCTTTTAGCAATAAACTTTATTATTATTATTCACCAATAGAGTTCATATCATTCCATTTTATCAATTCGGTAACGGAATTCAGTAGCTTGCGGTAATGGTTTCCGTTTGACTTTAAAATCATATCAAATTACTTATTTTTGTCGCTCGATCGTTGTGATGGTATTGTTGTAAGATCCAAAACGAGTATCGAGACTTCGTACGTGTATAAAATTAGTGATTTAAAATATTTTGCAGGTGTATCATAGTAGATTAACGAAACAACAGCCCCCAGTGAGAGATCTTCCTTCCTCAGAAAACCAGACAGAGAACAATAATAAGAATAGCACCAACAAAAATAGACAATCCGGTTTTCGGTTGCAGAGACAAAGTAGTTGTAAAGATGTACCTGAACGGCCTGATAGAGCCAATGCCAAAACTAGTAGTATCAAACATAGTGTCTCCGAGGCGAATATTAACAAAGGTAAGCGTTTTAATAATAAGGTAGAAAGTTGCATTAGTTCATGAATGTTTCGTATAGTAATTGGAGGTAAAATTCCATGTAGGGTTTTCGGGCTAGAACCACACCAACGCCCTTAGCAACAACAAAACTGGTTCGTGACCAGTGCTCTGTTTCCATATCTAACGGTCTAATGTGTTAGAATCTATACTTTTCAGCTGTATATTTCAAAAACTAATTACGGTTTTACCTTCTAGTTACCCGGCTGTCGCAGAGATTTTTTGCGCGTGTTTTTCAGCGTAAACGGCTTGATGGATCTTAATTTATGAGATTTCTTTAGATTTGTCTTAGTGCGAGTGACATTGAGTATAATAGAATTTTATAAAATCAAAATGACTGGTTTTAATCGAAAATTTCAACTTTGAAACTTCTATTTCACGTGTTACAGCCCAAACGGCTTAATAGATTTTGAAATTTGAGACGTTCTTGTCTTGATAGCACAATTAAAACTTCATTCTTTTCAGTTACTGCAGTTGGATTTTTTTTATTTTGAGTCGGTACATCACGAAAAACCATGTCAGTCATTTCCGTCTGTGTCTAACTGTTTGTCAGTCTGTCTCTCTGTCCGCTAACCCTTGGCCCGAGAAAAACCACCGGATTTTGATGAAATTTTTACATAATGTTACTACTACGCCAAGGACGAAAAATCTTTGTTGTTTTTGAAAATCGGTACAGCGGAAAAATGCCAGAAACGAGAAAAACAATAGAAATCGCTCAAACTTGTTTTTTTGTCGTTTCAGAGGATCCTGAAACAAATTTTTGATTAACATATTAATACACTTTTAACCCCGGTAATTCTCGCACCTCTTAGATATTTTTCACAGATCATAGATTTCGCAGTTATCAAACATTGTTAACAGTTTCACATCAGAGCTCCAAAGAAATGGGGCATCTACGTACACGCGCATTGCTTCTGATGAAATGCTTTTTCATAAAAAGCCCAAATAGTAATCTAACAGTTCTGGCAAAACCTAATTGTTTCTGTTGCCATTGCACCACATGGAAAATTGTACTAGCAGTTGTTTCGAATGCGCCAATTTTTTTTAAACCTACTTATTTTGCAGTAACGTTTTAATGATACTAAGCTTCATATGGTCAGTTTTTAGATATGACTATAAACATTTTTTTATAAAATGAAGTGATATAGATCAGTATGTCTGAGACGACGGATGTATCAACCTTCAAGCCAAATATTTTCAAACTAGGTCGTACATTTGCTTCAACTTTTGAGATAACGTTTTAATACCCTTCGAGTTTCGCATGATCAGTTTCGATGAAGCTTCTTATAAAACAGTACGGACTTGAAACGACAGAAACATATGTCAATACCACCATGAAGAAATAAAAATGCAGGCGTTACTATAGATTGCGATTTAACGCTAGTATTCATAGCGTTGCGTGAGAACCACAAAGTTAACCTACTTGACATCCGATTTACCTACATTTTCACATACATACAACCAATTATGTGCAAAACGATACATTGTGTTTGAAATCATGCGCAAACTGTGTCACGAACCTTGACTACCGCGTATACATCTAGTTTTTTTTTTATTACACACTGACATTGAAGACTTGTATAACTTGTCAATATATTAGTGTTTGTTCGTAGGATATGTATGCTTTACTGTTTAAGATAGTTTATCAGGTAAATAAATTGATATTAACAATGGCCACTGACAGAATACATTAGCATATTTAGAAAGAGCTGGTTGCAGTATAATGGTTCATACGATAATGAGTATGTTATGCCGGAACCTACAGACTACAAAAAGTATGTTCACTCCTGGACCCCTATTCATGAGAACGAGAGAGTACCATCACTGAGAGAAAGAGGGCATGGGGAATGATATCTGATTTTGGCAGCTGTTGAAATTTGTCAAACAAGTTTGTGGATTGATTCATTTTCGGCAAAACAATAGGCAATTTTAAGCGATAAACCGCGGTTATTCCTTGGTTATTATGACCTTGATTATTCTGTCATTTGTCCTTCTTACACAGAACAAAAAACTCGGAACAGGGTTGATACGCGCAGCTGTTTTGTGGTCTAACGACAACCATTAAAAATAGATTTCAAATATAAGTAACTTAGGTGTGATATTAACAATGTACCTGATTACATATATTGATATTAATTGGTCGATCCCATAGAAACTCAGTAGTTCTATGTCTTTTGCATATTTTTTTCCACGGATAGCTTTTAAGAAAAAATGTCAGTGACGACACAAACAAATGCAAAAGGCAGAAAAGAATAGGAAAAGGTTATGTTATATTTATGGGTTGATGTTTGACATACAAGAGCCGCATAGGATCCACCAGCTGAGCAAGGTTATTATTGGTCTTAACTGTCATAAACGGTGACATAGCAAAGTGCCAGTTCGTGACGTCATCATTTGACAGCTGTTACAAACCTTCACTTTTTCCCCCGAAAACCACGGAGACTTCAGTAATTCTATTTCCTCGTTTCAGTTGTTGAGTGATGACGTCAGCCATCAGTGCCATGCCATGCGTTGTCCCGCCTTCTGGGAATCTGGTTGGACCTCACATTTTGCAAATTCAGTATTGTGTACAATTTCATGGATTTTTAGGATTCTGTAACTCCTGATAAAATTTCCTACCCTCCGGCAAACCGTTTTATGGCAGGTAAACTTTCACAAAAAGTTGGCACTAGCATTCGCAGGTACCAGATGCTTTCTCTTAGTAACGGACAGTCTTGGCCGAGCGGTCCAAATAATCTTTTTTTTTGCTAAAATGGCTACTAACTGTAGTCACAGGTACCTGACCGATGCAGAGATATCACGTGCTGACTAAAAAATAATTTATTCAAGCTACAAAGCACAAGCTCGGAACGCTTTTATAAATTCCTACTATACCGTGGGTTTGTTATAGTTGATACAGGCGCAAGTTTGGTGATTTAATCAGATAAATATGTGACATTCTATCATTTTCAATGATAACTATGAAAATATTAGCTGTTTTGAAATAACTTTGACAATCTCAACTCATGGTCCACCTAGGAAATTCTGATTTTTCAAGTAACTATGGTTTGGCAAAGTCAGTATATTACATATACGAGTACATTTTATTATCATGTGCAAAAATCCGAACATGGTGTCCATAAGGGAAAATAAAGTTGATCTTGGAGGACAAGAGACGAAACGTCATATTGAAATTCAAATTATGCCATTCTTGTAGAAGAGAAAAAGTGGTAAAATGTTGATGTGCTTTTTATTTTGAAATCACTTCTCAAATAAAGTAAGGAAAACTCAGTTTTCTCCGACTCTTTCCTGAAATACTTGGAATTGTGAAAGTTTCTAGTGCCATTTTCGTAGTTACCCAAATGCGCAAAATGGTGCGAATTTGAAACACCCGGTAGTGTGAAATTCTGCAAATATTGTGCGACTCTAATGGCGATAATATACGTATATACAAAGAGACTCGTCCTTTAGTATATTTTATTTATCTACTTTCACAGAAAAGATCTTTACACTCGATACACTCCGTATCCAAAACCTTGTTCAACTTACTGTGCAGCTTCTGCACTAAACTGCTAGCGCAGCTTCTGTAGCTATCAGCAGCAGCGTCGACACCTTGGGACGGTGCACAATCACATAGACTTTGCCCTTTGCCGTTAGCTGCTTTGCAGCACGGACAGAGCTTCGGATAGTCTTCTATATTTTCCGATTTGAATTTGTGTCTTTCTGGCAGGAAATACTCGTCGTATGAGGTGCATATAGAGCAGTCGTCAGTGTGATCGTTAAACTTGGATGATGATACTCTTGTGAATAAGGGTTCATTTTTTGACGTGCAGTAACAGTGACATGATTGTTTTACACCATTTTTCTTAGTAGGTTCTAAGTCTGGCGCGTTGTTTTTACGTAATAAGAAGTCGTGTGAGACTCTTCTGTAGACGAATGGAGGTTTTTTGTGTTTTTCTTCAGTGAATGGTTTTTGTCCTCTGCTGTAAGCTACTGAATGGCAGACTCTTCGAGGAAGTTTTCTCGGGCTGTGTGGTTTTTTGGGGACTTGTTCGCAGTAGTTGATTTTGGGCATTGATTTAAATATTTCTTCTATTGTAGTTTTTGTACTTATTTCTAGTTTTGGTGCAATCGCTCCTGTAATAAAAAAGGATACATACAATGTTTTAATTAGAAGTTTTTTTATATACAGGGTGTTCCTTAATGATATGCGAATATTTAAGGGTGTAAATCTACATGAAAAATTAATGTTAGTTTGCTTTATAAACAATGGTCCAAAAATGTTTCCTTACAAAAACTCGGGGTGTTGAATTTTAGTAAGAAAATGGAAATTAATTAATATTTTCAGAATCGCTTCAGATATTTCACTGATATTTAGTACGTAGTGAAAGTTAATAAAGTTGCATATTTTTCAATGCAAAAATAATTTTTAGCTTCAACAGTGGCGTGCGTACGGGTATTGACTTCGATATTTTTTAAGAAAAAAATGGTACGCCAATGGTTTTTTGCCAAATAAAAATTATTTTTGAATTCCCCGTTCAATTTAAAACAAATAATCTCTCTTGAGTTGCTTTCCTTCGATGCGCCATTTTTGAGTAAAAAAATAAAAACCGTTCTATTGTCTAATTTGCAAAATTATTATTAATTTAATTGGAAAAATTAAACACATTAGGGGTAATGAACAACAACTGACAACATAAACATAACATTAAAACCAACGAAATGATTACAAAAATTGTTGAAAATGGCCCCCTTCACTTAGTATGCATTCTTCCGCCCTCCTTCTCATGGAATTGCGCACTCGTTGGAGTGTTTTTTATTCTATCACAAGCTGCAACTATTCTTTCTCTTAATTCCTCTACAGTGTTAATGGGACTTGTGTACACTAGTGTCTTAAGATAGCCCCACCGAAAGAAATCTAAACTGTAGAGGTCTGGGGACCTTGGTGGCCATTCTTGGTGCCCACCGCGGCCAATCCAACGATTTGGATAAACAGTTTGTAAATAATTACGAACCGCTACACTGAAATGCGCTGGTGCACCATCATGCATGTACCACATATTGTTTCTTATTGCTAACGGAACATCATCAAGCAGCAAAGGCAACTGTTGTTGAAGAAAATTGAGGTAAGTCTGTCCGTCAAGTCGTCCCGGCAAGAAGAATGGGCCAGTAAAGTGGTTGCCAATAATTCCTGCCCATACGTTAACCGAAAACTGGTATTGGAAATGGGTTTCGGTTGCGGGATTTTCTTCTGCCCACAAATGATTATTGTGGAAATTCTGAATGGCATTTCGAGAAAAATTAGCTTCGTCCGTGAACAGAATCATTGATTCTAATTGCGGATTTCGTGTAATTTTTTGAATATACCACTGACAAAAGGTCACACGCCTTGGAAAATCAATGGGAAGTAATGCCTGTACTCTTATAATATGGTAAGGATATAACAAAATATCCACTAAAATTCTCCAAACAATTTGATGACACATATTTAAGTGTCTAGCGATCTTCCTCGTACTCGTTTCAGGATGTTCTTCGACTTCGTGCAGCACTGCTTCCTCAATTTCAGGTGTTCTCACACATAGAGGTCTACTTTCAGATGTTCCTTTTCGGACAAAACCAGATTCAACAAGACGATGATAAATATTAGAAAAGGGTCGACTATCTGGCAAAGCACGATCGGGGTATCTCTGGTGATAAATCCGTCTGGCTTGCTCACCATTACCGTCGGCAAGGCTATATACGTAATGCATTTCCGCCATTTCTGCATTTGAATAATTCACCATTATTAACAAGATTGTAAAAACTACATAATGAAAAAAATGTCACAGCGAACAGATTGGAATAACAGAGACTTGTCAGATGTCAAAAGACAGTGACATATTCCAGAGCAACTAGATATTTATTGCTAAATTGCATTCTTCAATTATTATATTAATTTTCTCGGCCAATAGAACGTTTTTTTTTACTCAAAAATGGCGCATCGAAGGAAAGCAAATTGAACGGGGAATTCTAATCTAATTTTTATTTGGCAAATCCATTGGCGTACCATTTTCAATACCCGTACGCACGCCACTGTTAAAGCTAAAAATTATTTTTGCATTGAAAAATATGCAACTTTATTAACTTTCACTACGTAATAAATATCAGTGAAATATCTGAAGCCATTCTGAAAATATTAATTAATTTCCATTTTTTTCCTAAAACTTCAACACCTCGAGTTTATGTAAGAAAACATAGTTTATAAAGCAAACTAACATTAATTTTTCATGTAGATTAACACCCTTAAATATTCGCATATCATTAAGGAACATCCTGTATATTGTCGTTCTATCGATATGCTAACTATGCTCCTGTCAGTTCTCCTTTGTAATGCTGCCAAGTTCTAAACCTACCGGACGCATCCGCCGGGCTTTTCCTTCGAATTTTAAATCGAGAACTGGTCGGTACGACCGCTTGGCTCACTCCTACGAAATCGAGCATGTGGCAAAATACGCTAGATGTTTACTCCAGTTTACAGTCTTTAATTACTTCTAACGTCAATTAGCGAGGAAGTAGGGAAGGATTGCAATCGCATTTTTTTTCGAAAATGAGATATATGGAATCTATATAAAGGGAGAAGCGACGGCAATTTTGTTTGTGGTGTAAAAACTACCCCGAAACTTGACGCCTGGAGTACCAGCGGTGCTTTGGCCAGGTTGCCATGCTGGAGGATATTTACTTGGGGAATTTTTTGAGGATATAATGTTCTGGGCGATATCACACGTTTCGCGAAAAGAAAGCATCCCCATTCAACCCTCATTCAACCAAACCTACCCCTTCCTATTAATTAACTGTCACTTTGGGGATTTTTTTTTTGAAAGTAGCAATTCTGAGGAGTTTTTTGTGCTTGTTCTGTGGAAATTTTGTCGGACCCATCTGGCAACGCCGTGCTTGGACAGATCTGCCATATGAACAACAAATGGATTTCCATTTAAAACTGATTGTAAATTAACTCAACCGTTTTTTGAAAAAACATGAGGTAAATAATCGGAAATCTGATGGAAATTGTTGCTGTTATTTAGCTATTTATGAAGAACTGTTAGAAAGCCTTCCTTTATGCGGTGATGAATTGTTTAACGAGGGGGAACAGAAACATGTTCGTTGTTTGGAATTCCTGCTATTCCCCAAAATTGCAGATTTAACAGGCAAGTGTGATCCTGATTACAGTCAAAATATGAAGTACTACAATCCTATTCTCTTTTGATACTATACTAAAATCGGGCAATCTCAGGCGTAGGATCCTAGAAGATAATTATAATATTGTCTTTTTCACGAGTATCCATTACGGTAGAATAATAGCTGATTTTCTAATAATATTGCAAGAATTCCCCATATCGGCAACTTACAGATTTTACGAACAAATTTTGTTTTTATTGCGGCTGAAAATTGGGGGTTGGCTAGAACAGTCGTACTTAACAGCTCTTCACCTGTAGACTATCTGTGTGAAGCAGTTTAATCTCTAGATCTAATTATATTTGCATCCACTACCAATAAGCAAGACAACTTTAAAAAATTATGCACCGTACCTGGAAATAAACTAGTAGGTTCCATCAACAGATCAGTCTCCTTTCCTTTGACATTCCCTTTGAAACCGGGAGGATACAAAATATCATCTAAAGCAGAGTAGAATCTAGCTAGAACGTAACCCTCATCGCATGTCTTCCAATGGACCAACTCTGCGTAGAAAGTTTCGTGGCTCAGCGATCTCTGAAGATCAATCAACTTCCTGTCTTTGTAGAAGGTTTTCGTAAAAATGTATTTTTCGTTGCACGGTAAAGGAAACATCGGTCTGCAAAGCTGCGTTTGGATTTTGGAATCCAGCATCTTCAATTGTAAGGATATCTTTCCGTTTGTGCACAGCCATACTCCTGGACACGTTACTCTGTATATTTCTAGTTCTACTTTTACCAAAAAGCCTTTTGCGGACATACCTTCTGGTTATTCTACCTTGGTACATATTTTATAATGGCTTGTATTCACCAAAATTTACTAGCACTTGCGGTGTACAGTGTAAAAAATGTATAAAAAACTCTAGGCATTGTATGAAATATAACCTTGCAATAACAACACATCAAAAACTGAAAATTTTGATTGGAGCTATCACCGCGACATTTTTCGTTGAGTAAGAAGCTATAGGTCGAAAGCTTGGAAGGTGGAATTAGGTTAGATAAAAGGGAGCATCTGATGGTTTCTATGGAAATGGATCGATTCAAACAATACAAACAGTGACGCAGGATGTGTTTCGGTCTGGTACCATATTCATGGTTATCTTGAGATATGGATTTCATTAATTGGATTAGTGACGCTAATTCATCATCATATAATGGTGAAACAAAAAAAAAACAGAATTTTAGATATTTTCCCTTCTATGAGTAATGCGATTTTTGCAGCTAAAACTGGCAGCAAATTTGTGATTTACGTACTTGGAATAGTTATTTACCTAACAGGTGCGGAAAGTTATACTTTTCCGCACGCAACGGCAGTTGCACGAACGATTCGAAGCGGAGCTAGGGCAAGCCGTCAAGGTACAGGATTGGTACAAAGGCCGACTAGGCGATATAATCTTACATGTTTTCTATTACTAATTTCCTTTAAGCTAAGATATTGGTTAAGGAAGCAATAAGCTTACGTCATGGTTAAGTATGAATGGCAGTTGGCCAGACTCCGACCATTTTTGTCACTGTAGAACTGTATGTGTGTGAGAATAAAGTTTTCAGACTTCACCATGATTTTAATTGATAAATTATTGCTGTAACATCTGCAAAGATAATCACCTCGCCTTTTGTTACAATTTGGAACAAAACGTTCAAATATATAATAAATAGCAAGGGTCCTGGTACTGTGCCCTGCGGGAATCCGTATTTTAGAATTTTTTTATCCTTTCACTTGAATAATCATATTTTTCTAATGATTGAATCGTTTCATGAGCTACCGTGTCGAAAGCCTTAGTCAAATCTATGGAGATAGTTGAGCGTGGAATTTTTTATCTATGTAATCGCATACACGCTTTTCCAGTAGATGTATACCGTTTTGTGTAGACATAAATGTCTTCTGAATCCGAACTGAGTACCTGAAAGAATTTTGTCTTTATCTGTAAACGATGTCATTTGTTCTTTTAGCAATATCTCAACTACATATACACTGGATATAAGTGATATAGATTTTAATTAAATATTTTTCACCCGATTTATGTAACGGTATTAATATTGTCTTTTCGAAGTACATATTAAGACACCTTTTAGTTTATTGAATGTCACACATTATTTTTTTTTTCAGGAGGCATCAGTTCTCGGACCTCTTCCCGCAAGAACTCTTTTTCCAGACCAACAGCGACACGCAACTCCAGCGTTCCCAACGTGTCTCGGGTACCGGCCGCTCCTAGAGTGGCTGCCAAACCTCCCATCCCTCCTGTTGAGTTGTACCTGAGCAGGACGTCTCCAGAGAAGGAGGTGCCTGTTGACGATGAAGACGAGTTCGTACCGGTGTCTATTGACAGGCCCGTCGGTTTGGATCTGGACGATTTCTTACCTGTAAGTACTCATTTTTTTATTGTTATTTTTCTTTATGACTGTCAACGAATTCGAATAGGTCAGAAGGACCCAGAGCTATATGTTAACATTGCATTGTGTGTCGCCAAAATTGTGTAGTTTTAGTGTATACTTTTCGCTCATTTACCTTCCAGTGCCTACCAAAGTGACAATCCAATACATCTGCATACATTTTTTCTCTGGAGAGGTGTTCGAGTAGCCAATCGTACTGTTAGTAAATAGGAATAAAATGAATAAGACCAAAAACGAAAACAAATATTTATTAACGATATAGCACACACACAATTCTGCTTAATTCATGATTTTGGAAGGTGAAAATACGCAAAATTCGATTGATCAAATAGCTAATAAAATGTAACGTATAATTATTATTTATAACGTGAGAGTAAAGTCCTTTCCTAAGAACTTTTAGATTCAAAATTAAAATAGCTGAGAGTCAAAGTTAAAGTTCCAGTTAGACCTCCTCAGTATCCATCAAAAAATTTGGTTTGTCTCCATAATTTTCTTTTTCACTGTTGTTGTTTGGTATGCATTCCTGTTAACAATCCAGGTTCGTACTGAGCATTTAGAGAAACAAAAAGTGAACTTATATAAATCAAAATTACCTCACTACTATCCAGGTAACAGCTCAACGTTGAGATGCAACGCCCATAATATATTAACACTTGTCGATCGATTATTCAGTTTAAATGTTTTTTTTGCAGACCGAAACCTTCACCATTTTAGACAATCGCCTGGAATATTAGGACTGTAGGGAACCCACGCACTTTTATATATAGTGTCCAGTGGGCAAGTTCACTTTTTAATTTAAGAAAAAAAAGTACAAACTGATGAAAAGAAAATATATATTACTATCAACATATTCGTAAATTCGTCGGGTTTTGTTTCTGAAATATCATTCCGTCCAAATGTTTGCCATCCCTGTGGACACACACTTCTAATCGCGGGCGCATATTCTGAAACACTATTTTGCCGAGTTTCTCGTTGAATGTTGCCTTTAAGCTCCTCCAGTGTTCATGGATTATTGAAATACACTTTTGACTTAGATAGCCCCGCAATGTCTCCAAACTTCGATATAACTTTTTGAGGAAAAAGTGCTTTCACCGTCTCCATCGATTCTCTGGACGTATGGGCAGTGTCCTAATCCTGTTGAAACCATGTGTTTCTGTTAAATCGACGTTCAGTTCTTACAATAGGAGCAAAAAAAGTGTCAATCATGTCCTTGTATCGCTCGGATTTGACTATCAATGCATGACCGTTTTCATCTCCAAAGAAATACGGCACAATAATACCGCTAGATGATATGGCGCACCAAACAGTCACCTTTGGAATATGTAGCTGTTGTTGATGTTTCACTTTTGGGTTCTTTGGTGCCCAATATCTGCATTTTTGCTTGTTCACATAACCGTCCAAGTGGAAATGGGTATCGTCACTGAAAACAACGTTCTCGGGTCTGCGCTGCATAGGAAAAAAATTCAACACCTTAATGTTTCGGTACAGAACGCCGAGGATTTGCATTGACCGCATCACTTATTCGACGCAAATTTTATTCGGTTGAGACAGTAGGTGTGGGGCCAGGAATGGGTTGACTAAGAGTAGAGCCTGTTTCACGGAACCTCTTTAACCACTTTTTTAGTAGGTTCTTACTTGCTGCATCTCTTGGTCGGCGAATGCTGTATCGTGTACAAAATTTGGTGGCGGATGGTGCGGTGACATATCGCTCAGAAGGAAATTTCCATGACTCAGACTAAAGTAGAGGCTGAGTGTATTCTTGTCCACTATTCTTCTTTTTTGTGGCATAAGTAAATGTCAGCAAGAAGTTTCCATCTGTCCAGGGCTATCAAATATGCCATTCAAACAAGTGAAATGAACCGTGTACTGTAGTCTAATCATATTAGCAAATTTCCCCGAAAAAGTTGTAAAGCCTGGTTTTATTGCTGCAAGTTGTTCAAGGAAGTATTTAAAACATGGACGCATAAAATGGGTACACCAATTTTTGTGCGAAAACTTTTTATTTGACAACAAAGAATGAGAAAACGTCTTTTTTGGGATCCAATCGAAAATGTTGACAGGAACAAAAAAACTTTAAATATAAGATTTTTAGGTATTTATGAGACCTACAAAATGAGACCACACATAAAAAGATCCGACTAATAGCAAAAATGTTATGGCCGAAAAACGAGGTAAAATGAAGGTTTTGGCACTTGTTGGTAATGCGACGATAATTTCACGTAACTACTTGAGATTCTTCAAATCCGTAGGATTCATACATCTAAATACCAAGACCAAAATTGGAGTATATTGGTCAAGCAGTTTTTTGAGAATTTCTAATTGCTTATCCCAAAACATCTGTTTTTCGGTCATCACTACTAGTTTATTGACAGGGTTCGTTCAAAGAGCATTTAATAGCAAAATAGACGTGTTTATCTTCCCGATATGAATCACAAACCATTTCGAAAGATACATGTTATTTTTATGCGAAAAACAAAGGTTACGTTATTTTCTTCTAAACAAATTCAAACATTTGGTATTTGTGAGTAATTGAACAAATGCGCTACGATATTCGAAAAACATACGTTACTTTACACATTTTAAAACAAAGCTGATGTGTCTATCATCTTTGGTTGCGAATTACTCACAAATACCAAATGTTTGAATTTGTTTAGAAGAAAAAACGTAACCTTTGTTTTTCGCATAAAAATAACATGTATCTTTCGGAATGGTTTGTGATTCATATCGGGAAGGTAAACACGTGTATTTTGCTATTAAATGCTCTTTGAACGAACCCTGTATATTGCTCAATAAACTAGTAGTGATGACCGAAAAACAGGTGTTTTGGGATAAACAATTAGAAATTCTCAAAAAACTACTTGACCAATATACCCTAAGTTTAGTCTTGTTATTTAGATGTATGAATCCTACGAATTTGAAGAATTTCAAATATTTGCGAGGATTTGCATTGACCGCATCACTTATTCGACGCAAATTTTATTCGGTTGAGACAGTAGGTGTGGGGCCAGGAATGGGTTAACTAAGAGTAGAGCCTGTTTCACGGAACCTCTTTAACCACTTTTTTAGTAGGTTCTTACTTGCTGCATCTCTTGGTCGGCGAATGCTGTATCGTGTACAAAATTTCCGAAGGGCAGACGCGTATGAATCACCATTCTTAAAGTAAGCCTCGATAGCAAAAGCACGTTACGATCCGGTCCAACGTTCCATTGTAACTATTTAACCCGCACGCCGAACGCGTCGATCAAGACCTTTCCCCACTTCCTCGCGTATACGGTTGCCGCGTAATTCAAATTTGAAATATGAACTTTCCCACTGGACTTTGTATTTCAGAACAGCACAATACATATTTCATGTGAAATGTTAAGGACAGTCAAACTGGCGACTTCTGCCTGATCGACTTTTGTCCTGACTACAATCAGATTTTGGAGACAAATTGTGGACTTGCTCCTTCTACCTAGTCTGAATTCGCTGATGAATATGAACTCCCTTTCGAACTTTAATTTTAAAGACGCCATTGGGCACAATTGTACTGCTGTAGTATTAATATAATTAATTTTGCAGAAAAACATAGGGCTGTTAGTATACATTATTTGTTCTGCAGAAAAACCACACAGCTCCCGGCTTCCAACAACAATTAGCGAACATGTCGGAGGCTGAGGTGTTAGGCGTAATCATCCGAGGACACGAACCAACTACGGGGATCCTGAACAGCCGAATTCGAAGTCTGAAACTTGTGATAGCGCAGTTCCGGACGAAGGACATGCGAGCTGCCATCGACACCGCCATTTCCATTGACGATTTAGCCGTTCTGGTTGATATGCTTAGCATCATCAAGTCCAAATAGTAAGTTTTTACCAACATGTACCTGTAGTGCCGTTATGTAATTCTATCGCCGGCTGGAACTGCGACTTATAGTAGTAGTAGTAGTAGAAAGATTTATTTAGCACATTTGGCTACATAAACAGAATAATTGTAAACAACTTAGAACTAGTAAATTCAAGCCATATGGTGTATGATGTAAATGCTGGGCAACCTATAATTGTAGATTTAACAAGTGATTTCTCAATTTTACTTTAAATTTTGTCAAAGTTTTCTGGTCTTTTATCTCCGAGTATAATTTATTATATTCAATCAACCCTTGATGGAATACATATTTGTAGCATATGTTATACTTTTTGGTCATTAAATGGAAGTCATCTTTATTTCTGGTATTATGTAAATGATGGTCGACATTTGATGATGTTAAATTAGTTAGACTTGATGGAAATATATTATTTTTACTTTATAAATGAATATCATTGGAAGATATTTGATAAATTTTTTTACATTGAGCCATTTTAATTTGCTAAGCATTTGCCTAATTGGAGTATATTTATCTTTATTTAGTATTATTCTCATGCATTTATTTTGTAAAATTTGCAGTCTTTCAAAAATGGAATTATTTGCTAAATATAGAATAGTCGAACAGTACAAGAAATTTGGAAGAATGATGGTATTATAGATAATTTTTTCTGCTATATGAACTCAGACATCCAGAAACTCTCGATAAATATCCCACTTTACTACTAATCTTATTTATAACTTTTTCATAATGAAAATCAAAAATTAATCGAGAGTCAACAAAAACCCCCAGGTATTTAAAATTTTCTACGAATTCAATATCTTCACCATCAATATTCAGTTGAACATTTGTACATTGTTTTTTTCCGATTAACAAGGCTTTCGTTTTACTTGCATTTAATTTTAGTCTGTTAGATGCTAACCATTTTGAGACAAGTTTCAAGTCTTCATTTATTTATATAATACCCGTCTGAATATTTTTAGTACTTATATAAATCATAGTGTCATCGGTGAAAATCTGAATTTTGCATTTTTTTACTATGGCAGGTAAATCATTTATGTATAAAATAAAAAGAAGTGGTCCCAGGATACTGCCCTGTGGAACACCCAACGTATTTTCAATTTTTGATGAAATAGTGTCATTAACTTTTGTAACTTGCATCCTTTTAGACAAATAATTTCTAAACCAATCTAAAACACTTCCTGATATACCATATGCCTTCAATTTACCTAACAAAATATCTCTATCAATCGTTTCAAATGCCCTCTTCAAATCCAAAAATTCTGCTATGACAACTTCTTCTGAGTCTATGGCTCTTCTCCAATTCTCAGTTACCAACTGGAAAGCCGTTTCTATGGAATATTTTTTTCGAAAGCCTGCTTGCGCCTCCTCTAAAATTTTGTTTTCTTCTATAAACTGCATTAATTGGTCATGCACTATGGACTCTAATAATTTTTCAATGTCTGGTAACACATTTACTGATCTCATATCGCTGCATCTTTTAGAATTTTTTATTTTGGGAACTGGTGTTATTGTAGAGCATTTCAAATTTTAAGGAAAAGAACTGCTTCTCAGTGAACAATTGATCCAATTTAATACAGGATATCCCAAAATTTCGAAACAGTTTTTCAGCACGTTTTTAGTAGTGATTTCGGCACAGTTGTTATTTGATTTTAAACTGTTTACTTTTTTTCTTAGATAATTCAATGATACGCTGTGAAATTTTGAAAGTGTATGGAACATTTCCCCCTGAAAACTGATTTTCATATAGTCAGGTGCAGCATTGGCAGTACCCACAATATCAATAATACTTTCCACAAAATATTCATTTAGTTTGTTTGCAATCACCAAAGAAGTTGTTTCGGTACCGTTTTCGAATTGAACTTGATTTAAACAATCATGCGGCTTCGAATTGATCAGTCTTTTTACAGTCTTCCACATCTTTACACTGTCGCACTTGTTATTATCGATTTGTTTATCGTAGAATTTCCTTTTTTCTTCTCTAATTACATATACACATTTGTTCCTAAGAGTTTTATATACCTCCCAATCATCATTTGATTTTGTGAATATACATTTATTGTATTGTTTGTCTCTCAAATTTTGAGCTGCCTTAATATTCTTGTTATACCAGGGTGTATTTTTTGTCGAGCAAATCACTTTTTATCATTTGCTAGATCTAAACAAGTTTTTATATTTCCTATTATGTTGTCATATATTTTTTCCATATTCTCACCAAAATTCTAATAGCAGCCAGCAAGTTCTCGTTCAAGTTTTTCGTACTTAATAGTATTTACGATTTTCTTAATTTTTGTATCAGAAAAATGCCCTACCAAGGGCAGCATTGTCCAACTGTGATCGCTAACTTTAGGTGTATATACAGCTTTAATCCCTGCACATTCGAAATTTACAATAACAAGATCTAACAAAGTCTCTGATGATGATGTTATTCTGGTACTCTCTTCAATTTTTTGCTTGAACACATAGTTGTTTATGGTTTCTTTCAATTTTCTTGTGTTCATGCTTTTACCATAATAATTTAAATTAAAATCACTTAAAAGTATTATATTGTTTCTAAAATTCCACATTTCTTCGGAATCAAAATAGCTTTCGACCACCTTAAAGACACTTAAGCTTTTTATGCTTTAAAGATCATCCGGTAATTTATTAAAGATTTTTATTCCTTTATTTAGGTCAAGTATTTCTTTGTGTAGATTACCAATGTAGGAAAGTCCCTGGAATGGCAAATTTAAGGCCATGGTGAAAATGAGCCTTTTGTACTTACGGCTTACATTCCAATCTTGCATGTTTCGATAGATTCGCCACTAGCCAAAGTATAACCATTTATTTTCTGTATCAGCTGCTAAAAAATTACTTACATACGATTCTTTTTTGTTTCAGCTCACTGTGGAACTTGGATCTATGCGTAGCGGTATTACCAAAAATGTTGGACTTGCTTCAAAGCAAATATGAAACGTAAGTACATATTACGAAAACTATATCAACATCAATCGTTTCGAATCGTGTTTTGATAATATGTGATTGTACAATAACAGCAAATCAAATTTCAAACCGATTTTAATCCCTCGGGTGATTTTCAGTTCGCCATTATAAGACTCAGGGGCATTTAGTTAATTTTGTTTTACAGGAGCTGAGTCTATAATTCTGGATTGTTGATCGGCATATATTGTTTCAGGTACATTACTGTAGGTTGTGATACACTGAAATTAGTTTTAAAACACTTTGGACCTGTGATAAAAAGCAACATTCAAAGTCCTGTCGGATCTTTTGGTGTTGATATACCGAGAGAGGAGAGGTACCAAAAATCTGTCAAGTGTCATGAGATGCTCAGTCAAATAAGGTTTGTATCATTATATGTTATTTACTATAAAAATTACACAAAATAATTGCGCAAAGTCAAATATAAACCGTGTAAATTAAGTCAAGTCTGGTTTAACTGTCCAAGAAAAGAGTTTAGGATAGGTTATAGGTCTTCAATTTTCCGTCATGGTAGACCCTGCACAAACGTTCTTACATCGAGGAGAAGAACTAATTCCTTTGAACTACGATTCATAATATTTACCAGGAAAAATATCTTAGATTTCAAAGCTTCTTTTAGCTCCCACACTACTGCCGACCTATCATGTTTTTTTTTATATTAGACGAAAACCATACCACCCATTTCCGTAGATCGGTCGGTCTGTCTGTCAGCTAACCATTGGCTCCTCTCTAACTGACTGGGTACCCCTCCAATTTTAATAAAATTTTGACACTAGGTTGCTACTTTACCAAGGACGAAATAGCTTTGTGGTGAATTAAAAAAGCAGCTAAAAACTTTTTTTTGATGTTTCAGAGGCTCCTGATCATTTTCAGGGGTTAAACATTGATGGTTGGGGATTGCAGGGGGTGGGGGAGGGTATATCCCATTTTTTGGCGGTAGTATGTACGCTATGTGTGCAAAATCCTATCCGCACCTGACGGCTCACCGGTAGAACAGGCTTTATTGGCTTATGGCATAGCTGATTGTTGTAGTTCAGCAACGTTGCCAGATAGTCGATGCTGTTGGAAGGACAGAGAAACATTATGTAGCCCCATTTGATTGACTTGATCCATTTAACTTTCTTGTTGTACACTTCCTTAGCTAGCTTTTCTCTCAAAGCGGATAATATACTAAGTGACATATAAATCCGAACACCCAGTTTAAATGGTTTTATTTTAATAAAAGTTGGCGAATGTATCTATCTTACTGTAAATAACAAGTGAAAACATCTTCAGCCTTATCAGTTGGACATTCCGGTTTTTATACTGCTTTTTTTTAATTCACTAACGCTCTAAAAATGAATATTTCAGCCGTGGTAAAGAATCAACGTTGGAGGCTTTTGGTACTTGACATCCTTTACGATCGGTTACGATGCCTAGAGTACGGAGACCTGTACGATTTCGTCAATAGGGGCCGTATAGTGGGACTTCGGGAAGCTGGACTTTCTTTTCGGGCAATTGCAGTTAGAGTGCAAAGAAGTGGTTAGGTGTTGTCAGGCATGGCTTCGAGAAGGCCGTACGCAAAGAGCAAGGGGCACTGGACGCCGCCGTAGAACAACAGACCGTGAAGATCGCCGCCTAAGATTATTGGCCTTAAGGGACCGTTTCTCCACTACCAGGTCCATTGCAAATGAATGGTTTGCAGAACACGGAAGACCTATTGGCATGCGAAGTGTTTACCGACTAATGAGAAGTTTTGGCTTGTTTTCATACCGGCCACACTGGGTCCTCCCTTTAACTCGAGAACACCGACGTAATCGCCTTGAGTGATGCAGACAACGGTCACTCTGGGATCAGGAATGGAACAGTATTGTCTTTAGTGACGAGTCTCGATTTTGTTTAGGCATGCACGATGGTCGTGCCAGGGTTAGAAGGCGACGTGGTGAAAGGAGGAATCCACAGTTTTTTGTTGAAAGACATGTTCATCACACTGTTGGAGTTATGGTTTGAGGTGCTATAGCTTATGGTTCCAGGTCACCTTTAATCTTCATCAGAGGTAACATGAACGCGCTGCTTTATATCCACGAAGTTCTAGAACCCCATCTTTTATCCTATCTTGACACCCTGGCAGATCCAACTCTCCAACAAGATAATGCCCGACCACATGTTGCAAGAGTCACAATCGACTTCTTTCAACATAATGATGTCACATTGTTACCATGGCCACCAAGATCTCCCGACTTATCCCCAATTGAGCACGTGTGGGATGTGATGGGTAGGAGATTGCTCAATTTGCAACGTCCTCCTCAGACTCTAGAAGCACTTCGAGAGGAGTTGGTGGTTGCCTGGAATGAGATACCACAGGAGGACATTGACCACCTGATTAGAAGCGTGCCTAGGCGCGTTGGAGAATGCGTAGCACATCAGGGTGCATCCACACATCATTAAAGGTCAAAGGGCTTTAAAGCAGTGCAATCATTTTGAAATTTTTATCATTTACTTATTATGCTTCATTAAGTACTTATACAAAATTTTATTAAAATAAAACCATTTAAACTGGGTTTATTTTTTATTTTATGAGAAGTGCATAGTCAACCTGGTTGACGTCTTTTTTTCAAACGAGATCCTTAATTTTCTTCTTTTCATTATTTAGTTTACCTTGATGAAAGAGAAGCCTTGACTATGAACTGAACTTTAAACAGCATTCTTAATAAACCTGTTTTTATCGTTGCAGGTCTTTCATAGTGAAGAAACAGAGTTTACCAAGCATAGGAAGTTCGTTCCGCGAAGTGCACGAACTGATGTGCAACTTCCTGGATTGACGCCAAAGACTCGGACACGTGACAGGCGTCCTTTACAGAAACATCAGCGTCCAAGTTGGTGGCGGATGGTGCGGTGACATATCGCTCAGAAGGAGATTTCCATGACTCAGACGAAAGTAGAGGCTGAGTGTATTCTTGTCCACTGTTCTTCTTTTTTGTCGCATAGGTAACTTTCAGCAAGAAGTTTACATCTGTCCAGGGCTATCAAATATGCCTATTCAAACAAGTGAAATGAACCGTGTACTGTAGTCTAATCATATTACCAAATTTCCCCGAAAAAGTTGTAAAGTCTGGTTTTATTGCTGCAAGTTGTTCAAGGAGGTATTTAAAACATGGTCGCATAAAATGGGTACACCAATCCTTGTGCGAAAACTTTTTATTTGACAACAAAGAATGAGAAAACGTCTTTTTTGGGATCCAATCGAAAATGTTGACAGGAACAAAAAATCTTTTCATATAAGATTTTTAGGTATTTATGAGACCTGCAAAATGAGACCACACATAAAAAGATCCGAATAATAGCAAAAATGTTATGGCCGAAAAACGAGGTAAAATGCAGGTTTTGGCACTTGTTGGTAATGCGACGATAATTTCACGCAACTCCTTGAAATTCTTCAACTCCGTAGGATTCATATATCTAAATACCAAGATCAATATTGGAGTATATTGGTCAAGTAGTTTTTTGAGAATTTCTAATTGCTTATCCCAAAACATCTGTTTTCCGGTCATTTCGTATTTGTGAGTAATTGAACAAATGCGCTACGATATTCGAAAAACATACGTTACTTTACACATTTTAAAACAAAGCTGATGTGTCTATCATCTTTTGTTGCGAATTACTCACAAATACCAAATGTTTGAATTTGTTTAAAAGAAAAAACGTAACCTTTGTTCTTCGCATAAAAATAACATGTATCTTTCGGAATGGTTTGTGATTCATATCGGGAAGGTAAACACGTGTATTTTGCTATCAAATGCTCTTTGAACGAACCCTCAATAAACTAGTAGTGATGACCGAAAAACAGGTGTTTTGGGATAAACAATTAGAAATTCTCAAAAAACTACTTGACCAATATACCCTAAGTTTGGTCTTGTTATTTAGATGTATGAATCCTACGAATTTGAAGAATTTCAAATATTTTCGAGAAACCATCGTCGCATTACCACCAAGTGTCAAAACCTGCACGTTGCCTCGGTTTTCGGCCATAACTTTTTTGCTATTAGTCGGATCTTTTTACGTGTGATCTCATTTTGTAGGTCTCATAAATACTTAAAAATTGGTGTACCCAGTTTATGCGTCCATGTTTTTCGCAAACCAGGGGTATTTTCGTCTAATAAGATGAGACTATCGGACTGTCAGAGATTCTCACGACACCATAAGTTGAAAGTAGAAACTTCAATCTTTTTGCGGTATATAGAACGTCTAGAATCCACTGCGCCCTTCTATTTGGCATAAATAAATCAAATGAGAAATAGTAACGAGACGTCAAGTGAATGTCGGTGTTTACGAGCCCCCAAGTTACGGCGCTCCATCAGGTCTTTTAACTCAACCAAAAAACTAGTGAACACTATCTGAAAGTATCACAGCAACTTCTTCATCTTGGCAATTTTAATAAGAATCGAGCTAAAATGGTGGACAGGAATACCTCTTTATGGTGCTATGGAAGGGAGAGAGAGAAAAATCGACTAACATCTGGATGAAGAGGGTACGACAATGCTTAAGGCTGTGGTATGAGGGGGGAAGCTGGATGATTTGAGGGATAATACAAAGTGGGTCCAGGATGTATTGTGTACGAACTAAGGCTATGCGAAACTTGAAACATTCGTGTGTCAATCTTCCGGCACATATTTTACAAACGAAGTATTTTTTTAGCTAGAACTAAATGTTTTATCTTCAAACAATCAACAAATCAATTTCTAATCCTTATAGGAACGGATAAAAATGCAGAGCACTTAAAATAAAGAGAAATTCTATATGAATACATGGTACGACCACATAATAGTTATACCAAGTGAGGCAGCTTCGCCTCGTAAGGAAGAGTATCGTAAAAAAGGGAATTTGTTATCTCACTGTTGAACTGCCCCACTTTAGTCGAATTATTTTAACTCGTAGAACTCGCGCTATAGCGCGGCAAAGTTGCGAAACTCCCTAGATTATATCTGCTATTCTTTTCTTTCTCTCGCGCATATAGAACTTCTAACAAACATTTTTAATGAGAGGAATCAGGATTGAAGATAAAGAATAATTATTGTAAAGAAAAAATGTAAGCTTACAAACATAAACAGCTTCAAAGATTTTATCGCCAATGGATAAGCCTTCCACATTTATGCTTGTTACTGTCAGTGTGACAAGTTGCTTGTAATGGGCGTGCGATTTAAGTTCACCACTTGTTGATCGCAGTATTTATGTTTTGGATAAAAATTTCAAAGAAAGTTGAAGAACATGTGGAACCAACTCTTGACGATATTACATCTAAACCTAAGAAATTCTGAAATATTGTGACTCGTATGGCAAAGTTGTTTTTTACTGTTCTTATTCACTTTTCATTTTTTGTCTAGGGTCTTTATGGTTTTAGATTATCTTATTACTCATAAAAAATTTAGAAGTTCCAACGTTTTGGCATGCTTGTAAATGTCAAGTTTCGCATAGTACTGTTCCTTGATTGAGTTTGTATTCGGAATTGAGAGGTTGAGATCAAACTGCATCAATGCTCTCTTAACGTTTTAAAACAAAAATGGTGCATGCGAGGTCTCAGCTGATATCATTCAAGTAGATTTTGGAAGATTTAGAAAAGTTTAAATTAATTTTAGTGTGTTCGTTCTGAGTATGCTGTTCATAATTTCAACAAAAACTGGTTTAAGTAGCAGACATGAGAGAGGCCCCAGTAACTTTCCTGCTAATCAGACGTTGATCGTCAATAAGGTTTTCAGACTCAAGTTGCCCTAAAATGGTGGTTTAATGTTAACCAGAAGACCATCACTGGTCTAAGTGGAAAGCTGTAGTTATTTTGACGCGAAACGCACTGAACACAATAGCTGAGATGCAAAAGTAATGTTGTCGCTGCTAGCCGACCAGAACTTGAAAAACGAATTTTCGAACTACTGGTAGTTAACTTCCAAATAAAGGGGTAAGAACCAAAAAGATCTAAGTGCCGTTATGCTTGTCTGGAAATATTCAGATATATTGATTATTAATTGTAAAATCTGTAAAAACATTTCATATGGGGTTTTTAACCCTTAACCTACCATGTGAGTCATCTGGACGCAAAGATCCATGTGGGGTCTCACAGACCACTAACTGGGCAGATAGTAAAACAAGTTGTTTTTTGGAAATAATTTATTATTGTTATGTATAAAGCAATAGGGGTCCTACTACTACATGTAAATGAGGAAAAACGGTTTGTTTCTAAATTGGTTTCTGACAACAACAAATATCTGGAAAACTATATCGTAACTTGACCTAATTAAACATGTATTCTTAAAAGCTCACAAAAAAAACATTAGCGACCTAAGTAGGAAAATGTATCTAAAACATTTTTTAGGAACCTAAGCTATATTAAAAAATTGAACTCAAAGGACAATAACACTGAAATGCTCTTCTAGCAGAAACTAATCAACCGTCTTTTTTGCGCATGTATTGCATAGAGGCTTTGTGCACTGCAAGCAAATCGCCCGTCTACACTGCACACAGAGATACTTTGTCTTGCGATGTTTTGCTGCAGGACACAAATAGCATGCTTTACTTGTTGTAAGCAAAAGCTCTCCTTCATTTCGTTTGTTTCCGGTAGCCTCAAAATTCTACTAATATTGCTGCGTATTTCACGAGGCACTCGATCATTTGCTAGTCTTCTTTCCATATTTTCTCGAACTAATTCAGCAGCTAGTTGTTTTACAAATATTGATTTATCTTTTATCACCTCTTTGACAGCTTGATGTAAAATAAATGAATTTACAATAGATACATCAAGAATACTGAAGAATATTGCAAGCGACCATCTACGTGTTCGCCGGCTTGTCAAACTTTTCGAGCATTTCTCGTCGAGTGTATCTAAGGTACCTGAGGGTATTAACGCCCACTTAACAAACTTTTTTTAATCTACTAATTACGAGTGAGGATTGATAAATTACTGCATTAGTAAAAACATCTTTATTGATAAACAAATACAAATTTTAGCCTTTTTTAGTTCTCAAAGTATCACAGGACCTCTATAGGCCATTTCAAAAAATGGTGTTTTTGGGCGTTATTAACCACCTAGTAGTATATTAACGCCCTATGGTAAATGCAGTGTAAGGTACATGAAAGTAAGCAAAAACTGAACTAAGCACAAATATATTCTGCTTAAAACTATTTTACAGTTTAAAAAAACAAGTCTTCAATGTTTGGACGCTACTACCCGCACAAAACTTTCTAATAGAAACGAAACATTTTTCTTCGCTAAGTGAAAAGGAACATTAAACAGATAATGCAACGGGTATTATTAGAGCATTCCTGCATTATTAACAAAAAAAAAACATGAAATGAAAAACTAACACTCGGGGCATTCAAAAATTAAATCGCTTTCTGTCAGACCAACACACTCCTCATGGTACCAGACTTGGCATTTCATGCACTGTCTCATGTCTGATAAACGATTTTCTTTGCAAGCTGGACAATACCAATCTGCAACTTGATCTGGAACAATCCTTGAGCTCGATGGATTTTGCTGGAACAAGTCCTTAGTAATTGTCTGTGCTTTGTAGTTCATTGCTTTTTCCGTGGTAGTTTAACAGTAACCGGTGTCGCCAGAAGTTTTTGGAAAGACGTTCTAGAACGATAGTGAATCCGTTTTTGTAACTCTTGAAGTGGCAAGTCATCTTCGGAATCAGATGAATCCACTATGTGTGAGGTGGCATTTTCTTTTTGTCTTGCAAATAAATATTTTCCGACACCCTTGGACGTTGAGGGTTGCTGGTCGACGTCTTCTGGCCTATTGGTGTCGGGCAGTAAACGTTGCGTCAAGATAGATGGAGCGAACGCCGTTGCGGGAATGGCATCGGTGTTAAAATGATAAATCCCTACAGCCCTGAATCCACTAGTTATATTAGAGTAGGTCATACACTTGGACCAAACGTTGGTAAAAATCTTGTTGAAGCTGATTTTGTTAATTTTTCGGCCTGGATTCTCAGACTGATACTTCAGCATCTCTACATCCCAATGATGTTCATAAGATCGATACACAGATTTGTCGAGCGGCTGTAGTTCGTGCGTTGTGTTTGAGGGTAGACAATAAAGGGTAATATCGTGCTCTTCAGCGGCATTAACTATTCTCAAGTCCAAATGACATGCTGCACCATCAAACACTAAGAGGACTTTGCCAGGTGGTTTAAAACTGGCAAGGTGCTTTATAAAATCAACAAAGAGCTCGGTGGTCATATAACCTTTAGGGGACATCCTTACCATACTGCCTGTTGGTAAATCGTCACAGTATTCTGGCTTAACTCTTTTACCCTTGAAAATTATCATTGGCGGAATTGGATTACCAATGGCGGATACACACCCCACCACGGTAACATTTTGTGCATGTTCATTTGAGATAAGGTGAACCCTTTTCACACCTTTTTGTGCAAGAACGGTAGGTTGATGGTGAAGGGTCAGACGGCAACCTGTCTCATCCATATTGAAAATTTTCTCAGGTTTGTGCTTTAACTCCAATTTATCTAATAAGTTACCAATTTTTTCAAAATGGTCCTCTACTATGAACTTATTCAGTTTTTGCGCTCTTGCTTGATTCATAAATTGGGCTTTCCTTTTTGATACAATCGGGTTTCTTTTTAAGAAAGATTTCATCCAATCCTTTCCTGCTCTTTGGCTTTCTGTATTGAAATTATTTGGGATGTTGTTTATTTCACAGAACTTGAAAACATTAAAACGTAACGTTTTCAAGGTTAGCGCCAACCCTATATCGGCCAAACGCAGAATCCTTTCCACTAGATCTTTCTCTTGTTCTGTATTTAGCACGGCTTTTCGGCCAAATCTTTTAACGCATTTTCCAGTTTTGAGGTGATCCCGAAGTGTTCTTCTGGGAATATCATATCTCTCCGATGCGGCTCTCTGAGTTAAGATCCCCCTTGATACTGACAGAATGGCTGCCTCCATATTCGCTTCGTCCCATCCTACACCTCTTTTTCGGGCTGGTGTTGACGATTTCTTTTCCATGTCTAATCACTTCTGAAATAGTTCAAAAATATCATATTTTCATTTGTTTAATAACGCCCGCTTAGGCTGTTTAATAACGCCCACCCCGAATTTGGCTGGGCGTTATTACACGATTCACTTCTTACAACAAAAAAAACCAATTCAAGAAAAAACACATTTTAACAAGCAGAACTAATTAGCTATTCGCTTGTCATAGACCTTAAGGCGGCTCCGACGCAGTGAGTTTCAGGCCATTTACAAGGGTTTAGCTGCTTCGGAATTGACGCTCCATTTTTCTATATATTTGAATAAAATTTATACAGTATTTTCAGAAGACAATTGTCCAGGGTGCTATAGAGCCACTTTTCTAAAAAAAAATTTTTTTCAGGAGTTATGGTGGGTGGAAGTGCAGATAATTGTTGTTCGACTTCTCGATTTTTTTAAAAATAACCCAGAGGAAAAAACGAAAAAGTGGCTCTATAGCACCCTGTGGAGTCTTGTTTTTAGTGCACTGTGAAAATTTCATTGAAAAATATTCAAAAATGAAGCGTCAATTTTGAAGCGCGAAAACCTCTGCAAATAGGCTTTTACACGAATTTTATCCACTATCTCGTGCTGCCAGTCGAAGCAACGCGGCGGTGTGTACGGACTAAGAAAGGACGTATTCAGATAATTTGTTGTCCCAAGTTAAACAGTAGCAGCTTTAACGTCGGTCGTTCGAGATAAACATCGGACCAGTAAATGATATTTTTAATAGACTTCAATGAAAGAGGGGAAATTTTTAATCGATTTTGATCATTTCTTTTTATACAATAGGGCATGCTTCAGAGGTGATACCACAAAAAATTATTTTTGTTCAATCACCCCAATATGGATATCAAATGGAAGCACTTGTACAAAACAGTAATACGAAAACAGTTTCAAATCAAGATGGCGGCCGTTACAAAATGGCGGATAACATAGTTGCTAATATCTCAAATAAGAGTCGTCGCCTTGTAGAATACAGTACTTCACTAAAAATTTGATTAGAAGATTGCCGCCGTTTCGAAATTGCGAGTTACATATTTTTGTACAAAACCCCCAATTTACATATCAAATGAAAAGACTTGACATGTGTGGTAAAATACAGAACTTTGTGACCAAAAGTTTCCAGGTGGTTCCAGGGTCATTGATTGGAGGCGGTAATCTTTTTGGTTAAAAATAATAATTATAGTGAACGCATTTAATACAAATAAAATGTCACTTGCTGTTTAGCTTTAACCTTATGGAGTATCGTAAAATAAACTTAACACGATAAGCGTCATGAGATATAATGCGTGTGTCGCACCTCATTTGGCGCTTTGGGCCTCGTGACACACATGATATGTCTCACTGCTGGCAGTTACATTTGGCCGCGTAACGTAAGACGTGTGCCACGCTGATGTGATTTTCTTACGGGAACCAAGAGTCCGTGGCCTGAGGGACCAAATTATACTGAATTGGAAATGAAAACATTAAAAAACACGTTGTTTATAGAGTTTTACAAAAAGAGGATATTCTACAAATCTAAAACAAAAAGCAAATCTTATAAAATAATCAGACATTCTCATTCAAAAATGAACAAAGTAATTTCACAGCAAATCAGTAAGTTATGGTAAATGTCGATATTCTAACGAACACAAATATGGAGGAACTCTTATAAACTAAACAGATTTACAAAGTCTTATGCAGGAATAAACAAAATATCGGTATAAACAAACAGTAATACAGATAAATATGGAATTACTACAACTACTATCTGATTCACTACCACTTGGAGAATACGCATCAGATAAGTATACATCCCCACATAACTCAGTACTGCCACTCTCTTCATCCGATAGTATTTCATTACACAATTGTTCAAGCCTTTTTTGCTCCGCTTCGTAATGCGACATCACAAATTTGGTATTCAATAATTTATAAACAGTAAAGCAATTTGGACAAGATGACGTACAATACCAACAACGCTTCAATAATAAATGACACGAAACAGTGCTCAACGCGCGACATGATGCAAGTCTTGACTTGCAAAAAACGCGACGCGACTTATGTGCCATGCGACCCGACTGGTCTGTGGGCCACGCGACATACAACTAGTACCTCAGAAAAAAAAATCAAAAAAGGGGAAAAATCATAGGATTTGAGAAAAAAGTCAAGTCAAAATATTAAACCGAAACTTAAAACAAGCTAATTTGACAATAATAACAGTTTGGCCCAGTGGACTGGATTTTCAGATTCTACTGTGGCGCTTAATGTGTCAATGTGACATTTCAATATTCGCCGTCTAACAGACTAGATAAAGTTAGCCGATGCTACGTGCTATTGAGCCTGACGATTGACTTTTATTTAAATAAACAATATATACATAATATACAATAAATAGTGAACATCTAGTACTAGTACCAAAATGGAAGAGATTAGCATAACATCTCGCACATCGCTGCTAAAGCGAGATCTGCACACCGCATTTGCCGACACGAAGGGGTTAGTAACGGCGTACAATGTAATATGCTAATCTCTTCCATTTTGGTACCTGAGTACAGCAAAAATAGCCAATTCTCAAGAACTCTTTTTCTTGTTCAAACGGTTCTCTTGTGCCTTCAAGATCACATCGGGATCGCGGATTGGCATATTTCTGCTTTTCCTCGGATCGACCAGTTCTGGGAGCAAGCAGTTCATGTAGAAGAATTTCAATTTCTCTTCCATTTCATTTTTCCAGAAAACGACATCCTTTTGAATGACGTCTATTTTCAAACCATACGGGGTCCAAACACCCAGCACACAGTACTCTCTTTGTGCAACGTGTAGCTGCCCTTGAATTTGGTAATACCACTTGTTTTTTATTTATTTCATCGCTTATCCAAAACGTATTTTTTTTGTTCAGAATGTCCTCTTCAGGGGTCATTTCTCTAGCCGACCATGGACATTCAATTTCTAGCAGACCTTTTTCGCCTATCAAACCATCTGGCGATGCTGCCAGAAATGGATGGGTCCTATCAATAAACAACCCGCAAGGTTGTACTTCTGATTGCGAATATGATTTCTCTATTTCTGCCTTTGCCACGCTTTCATGCTTTTTTCCATTGTCACATGCATTGCTAAAGAATTCGGTTGGGTATATTATGGCGTTTACTAGAGCTCTGCAACTTGTTGTATCTCTTCTTCTACAAACCTCACCAAACCGAGACGCAGTCAACCTCATTCTTCGATGAAGACGCCACAAATTGCAATCCTGAGATTTTGTGGCTTGCTCGATCTGGGAAATTTTGGAGTCGGTTTTTGCAAGTTTTTTCAAGAATTCTACCTTGGCAGCCTCTATATCTTCGTTGCTCATGTCAGGCTTCTCACAGAATTCCCCATAGGATGCGTTCTCTTTAGTATCACTATCTCTGATTTTAATTTTCCTTGGTTTCAGCTTCTTTTTCAGATTTTTGTGCGCCCTCCTTTCTTCAACTTTAGCAATCAAAGAGGTTGGACTGAAACTAGAGAGTAGCCGCTTTTGGATCACACAAACAGGTCGCTGTGTATTGTGGCTAGTGAGCCGGCTGCAGCACATCTTCCTTGGTAGGATCTCTTCTTGCAATAATTAATCCGTTTACCCCCAATGAATTTAGCTATGATTGAGTTAAACTGCTCTACAATACTATTGTCGACGTCATGAAGTAAACCTACTGCATTTTTAATCAGAATTGCCAGAAATGATATCAGCCTCTGGTGCAAATCTAAAAAAAAAGGGTATACACACCTGAATTTGAAGATCCATGCCATCTGTCTCTGTTAGAGAATGCATATGCGAAACCTTGCTGTCATTTTTAAGCTAAAATAACATATAAAATATAGCTATAATAGTAACTACGTATAGTCTAATTTATTGGCAAAATGAATGCTAAAATTCATAATTGTTTTGGTACCTACCTTTCTATCTGGAAAACGTTTTTTTTTCCTGTGCGTATTTAAATGCGGCTTCTTCGAGACGCCACGTTTATTTCTCTTATTGTTTGTTCATTTATGATACCTTGATAAGAAAGACACTCAACAATAACAACACAACAATAACAACACAACAATAACAAAACGATAATACAACAATACAATAACGGTAATAAGAGTAATAAGGGCTGAGTATACTATGCGCCAAAATAGGGAAACAGTCGTACGCTAGATCGTAGATCGTATATCCAAATCAAATCCGACTCTGTGCAATATGCAAATTCAACCAGGCACGCGAACAGCACACCTCTTCGTATTACTATCCTTTTCTAACGTAGAGCGCTTGCCTTGTCACAACGCCGTCCTACTAGCGTTTCCCTATCACCCCCCCGATACCCCTCAGAAACTCTGCTTGACTATGAGAGCGCCGTTAAGCATTACGTGTGGAAAATAACAACCATTTATCATGCTAAAATACAAATTTACTTACTTATTTGCAGCACCTAATTTTATAAAATGGATCGCACAACCACCTGTTTTGTATGCTTAGTTATAACTGACTGCGCAAACTCGCTAATGGCGTCGACTATCAGTGTCTTCGTCTTACTACAGTCGAGTATGTTCCTTATAACCTGCGTTAGCTTCAAATAATCCAGTGCAAAGCGCCAAATTTAAAAGCGGGCGTTATTAACCACCGGGCGAAATTGCCCGCACCTACCTTACACCGCCTTTGGTCCGGTTAAAAAAGAAATTATTTCTGGCTTTTGGGTTTCAGGGTCGGTGTAGCGCCTATTGTGCATAGAAGAAACTAATAGTATTGCTTTTCCTTTCTTTCCCACATAAGAAACTAAAGTCATATCTTCACGAAATCCATCCAACGATGATCCTTCTTCTCTTTTCTTGTTTGGTAAGAATTCTGTTGGTACTTCTCGTTTATTTTTCTTTAGTGTAACTACGTAAGTTAGTCCATTTTTCATTAGCAGGTCAACAAGTTCTATAGAGCTGAACCAATTGTCAACAGTTATATTTCTGTTACTTCCGAAAAGAGGTTTTGCAAGACGTATCACTGATTTCTAACCAGTAAAGTTTAAAAAAAATCTTAAATTAAATCTAAACGGTATTCCTACTTTCCATGAAAAATATTGAAGCAGTTCAAACAATATCTCGGATTACCTTCGCAAACGGAACAAAACGTAACTCTTTTCACCTTACTTTATTTTTTTTATAACAACCTTTACAGTACTTTCTATTCTCGCGAGCTTTACAGTCTAATTTTGAG